GTCACATCCATTACACCAAAAATTCAATTGAGAAGGATTCTGTAAAGCTGATCTATCATCTCTCTTTTGCTTAAACCAATACCACAGATAAGCTTCTCTTTTATCTTTATATTCTACATAATGATTATTACTAACTAATCTGCATATTAGTTATTCATATGAACTAGAAACTCAGATTTTTTTGCTCTATTTTCATTTATATCAATTTGTCCATTATTGTCATTACAAGTAACTCTTTTAAGAGAATTATTGTTAACTGAATCTTTAATTAGCTCACGAATCAAATCTAGCATAAAGCTTTTATGATTTTTTGTTATTTCTAATTTTTTACCAATTAAGTAAGAATTTATGATTGACGTATTCAGCAACCAAAAAGGTAGCCAAGTCAGACAAATAGCCAATTGTGTTGAATAATAGCTACATAATTGATCAGCTATGTCAACGCTACCCATGTGATGGTTATAATTGTCAATTATTTTTGGAATTGGCAAAATTTTATGAGCTGCACCTTCAAATACAGACCTAACTTTTTTGCTATTGATATTCGTCTTTCTAGGCATTCTACGTTCTTTAGAAACTTTATTATCAATATTATGTATTGTAATCAACATTGTCACAGGACCATTATCTATTCATAATATTGCTAACACATTATCAACTACAACATTCTTTAAAAAATCCCACTTATTCTTTTTCTCTTTTTCTTTTTTTAAAATTAAAGGAAATTTTGTCATATTTGTCCTAATGGTTTTACATGCACCAATACCTTTTTCTCGAAGAAACAAAAACAGATTTACACTGGAAAAATAATTATCTATGTAAATATTGAATGACTTTTGTGATAGCAATTGGTTAACTAAATGATAAACTTCTGCACTAATTCTATTAACATTTTCAATAGCATCAACGCTAAATGTCTCAATTCTTGATGTAAACATAAAAGTATATGTGTAACTTGAATCACATAAAGACAATATTTTATAACCCTTCGGAGTTGGTTTATTCTTTATTCTAAATGTATGAGCACTTCATCTGGAAAATCTGGCTATCATTTCATCTACCACAACGTTAGATGTAGGTATGCATAGTTTTTTGGATATATTGTGAATAAGTAAAACTAGTAATTCAAGTTTCAAAAAAATATTTGATTGCTTTGTAATATCTGAAATATGCAAATATCGCTTGATTTAAAAAATTTAAAAAAAATAATTTAACCAAAAAATTTTAAAATAAATTAAGTTAAAATAAATAAAAGTAATTCTACTTATCTGTTGAAAATGAAATAAAGTCATTAATTTTGTAATTTTATGAGTGGGATAAACTTCATCCAATTTCCAATAATCTTTTACAGATGGTAGTTTGAATATACCCATATATATTACAAAAGCAAGCCATATTTTCAACTCATTTACTATTAGTTCTGTCTATTTACGACTACTTTCAGATGAATTACTTCTCTTTATATTTTGATAATATGCATATATATTAGTATTTTGAACGATAATTTCAACTTGTTTTTGAGAAAAAAATTGCGAAAAAATGATGTATGGAGTAAGATTTTCAGGTTGAAAGAAATTCGGCAAGGTGACATTTGAATCATGGTAATTATATTAAATAGGTATATATTCTAAAGGAGGTTGCAAAATTTCTTCATCATTATTGTTCTTTTTTGGTTTTTTTCTATTATTAACATTAGGCTTATTTCCATTATTCTCATCATTATCACCTGCCTCATATAAATAATCTTATTTTCGAGTAAACTAGCAAATATAATTATCATAATTTTTCTCAATACCTTCTTCAACTTCTAACATTATGCGAGAAAAAATGATGAAGTAATTAAACGTTATAAAAGAGATCGATAATTTCTGATTTTGACTAAATAATTCACATTATTGCACTATTTTCAATGATTTTAATACAAAATCTGAAATTTAAACACATTTTATTACAGAATTTTCATTGATTTTTGTAGGGAAAAAATTGGATTTTCATAAGAAAAAAATTGGACTTTTATAGGAAAAAATTGGATTTTTCATAGAAAAAGAATTGGAAAGATTTCCATAAAAAATTGTCATGAAGAAGAAATTGATTTTCATAGGAAAGAATTGGATTTTTGTAAAAAAAGTTTTTTGTATCGCTGAAATTTATACTATTGATATACATTTATTAAATAACTTTTACTAGAAAGTTCGCAGGCATATTTTCCTGCAATTTTGTGATATGTTACAAAATTGTATCCTTTTACATTCATATTTAACGATTCTAACATAAAAATTTAAATCAAAATGTTTGCAGACAAACTTAAAAGATTTGCAGGCAAATTTGCCTGCGACCTATTTGTGATACAAATATTTACTTATTGCATAAAAATTTAAATACGTTAAATTTTGCTGCCAAATTTGGTTGCATTACGTATGAAAGGTTATAGTATTATATTTTGATAATTTTTGCTATATTTAGTACATTTATTTTATAGCAATTTAAATCTAAAGAAGTTTGCAGACAAATTTGCCTGCGTTACAGACGAAGGAATAATGCTTTAATTTGTTATATCTATTATAGTTAAGGTTACTTACTTAAATATTTTCAAATTTTTATTAATAAAAAGTTTAATATATGGTAGGCGATCAGTAGAAAAGAGGGAAATCTAAATTTTGGTCAAAATTTATATTATTAAACCACTTGACTAATCTCGATTATGTGCACAAATTTGTCTTAATAATAAAAATTAACAAAAATTTTGGATTTTTCCTTTTCTACTGACCGCCTCCCATAGTTTTTTTAATTTTGATATTTATAATAATAGTTTTAATATTTTAGAATTTCAATAAATTTCATTAATATTTAATATGAGTTTAATATAGTATTAGTATTTCAGTATTTAGTTAAGAAAATAACCCTTTAGTTTTAACAATTAATCTTAATTATAGTTATAAAAATAATTATATGTATTTTTTTTGATAGTTTTGATTTAAATTCTAAATATTTGATTTAATAAATTAATATTTATTATTAGATAATTAAAAATTATTACTTTTTATTTATTTAAGATAAGAATGAATCCATTTTGTAAAAATATTATTAAAATAATTATTTTATTATTTAATAAATTAAAAAATTTAATAAATTATTATTTGGCTTATATAGATTTTAAATTATTAGTTTTCAAATAATATATATATATAAGCAAATAATTATTAATAATTTGTTTATAAATTAAAGTTATAAAATAAAATATTATAAAGTAATTATTATTATAGATTTATATTTTTTAAAAATAATAAAAATGATAATAAGTTAAAGGTATGTTTTAATTTCATAATCAAAATGATAAAAATAAGTATACAGTCAAACTTTGATATAGTGAACTCTTGATATAGCGAATTTTTAAATCAAATATATTAAAATTACCTTTACTATAGTGAACTAGCCAATTAAATTCTTTAAAAAATTCGTTATAAGCTTATAATGAAGTTGATATCCAGATCCTAGAATTCGTTATATCAAGAGTTCACTGTATATAAATAAAATATTATTAATCCTTTATAAATGTATTTTATATAAATGTATTCTTTATAATTTTATATTCTATTTCTTATTATACTACTATATTAAAGATAGTGCAGCAATTAATTTTAACTTTACAACTTGATGTAATATAAGCTAAAATTAATTGTAACAAATATAGGTTAAAACTAATTGTAATATATGTTGTAATATAAAAAGTTGCAACATATTAATTACAGTTTTTATCTTTTATTACTACTATTTGATTTCTTGTAATTAGTCAAATCTAATGAATTAAGAATCATTGATTTTGAATCAGAAAATCTTGAGAAATTTGCAATTGAATTTTTAGTTAAAATTATAATTCAATAAATTTTACTTAAGAGGCTCAAATTTTGAAATTTATTTTGAATATCTTAAGATTAGCTAATTCAAATTAATGATCTTTAGTTTATTAGTTTTGTTTAATTAAAATAAATATAATTAATAGTAGTATCATGAAAAATAATTGATATTAAACAAGATTATAATATGTTTTAAATTAAATATCATATAATATGTTTATATCATATTTATTCAGCATTATCTTCACAACTACATGACTTTGGCCAGTATTACAGTATTAAAATTTACCTAATATGAGTAACAAATATAATTTTATTCTAAAAAATATTTTAATTCTCAGAATACTTAGTAAAATAGAAAAATAGATAGTATGATAATATAAAAATATTAGGATATACTGTATAAGAGAAAAACGTTGTTAAAACATTGTGCACAAATCTTTAGGGATGCATTTAAAAAATCACACGTCTGATTGCCTTAAAGGTTAACTGGATGATTAAGTGAATAACAACATATAAAAAAAATACAGTATAATAATTATTTCATAATGAAGGTTCTTGTTGTTTAATAAATTTTTTTTTTTGAAAAAGCTTTGTGATGAAAATGATTTATTTATGGAAATAATAAAAAAAGAGTCATTTGGGAGGCGGAAATCCAAAATTTTTGTTAATTTTAATTATTAAAGCTAATTTTGTGCGCATGACCGAAGCAAAGTATAAATTTTGACAAAAACTTGGATTTCCCCCTTTTCTACAGATTTGATTAAATTTATCAAAGGCTTTTTAAACATGATAATTAGTCAAATATACAGGTAAATTTTTTTAGTTAGCCAATAGAAATACTAATATTTATTACGCGACATATAAAATTTTATATATAAATTAACTTGAAGTCATTATTATTTCAAATTGTGTTTTAAATTTTATTTTTTAAAATTAGGTTTAAACGACAAATGTTAATGAATTACTCAGGAGCTTTTGAGAAAAGGTTGATATTATTTATATTTTTTGACAAATTCGCATGTAATTTATATACAGATTATTTTCTAATTTTTTTTTTTTCATTTCAAAAATAAATTAAATAAGAAGTTCTATCATAATTTAAATTTGTTAAGCTTGTTAATTTATCTAAACACATCCTACTTATTAAGAATTTAAATTCTTGTATTCTTCAATTAGTTTAAACAATCTTGCTAATTCCTCTTTCTGCTTTTCTGTATTAACATAAACCAATAAATGATCATTATTGATCCAATGCCACCATCCAAATACATCCCATTTAACGAATAATTGCAACAGGGGTTCTTCTTCTAAAATTTCAACACATTCATGTTTGATTTTAAAAGTAAATTCACGAGGAGATTCTGGTCCACGTGCATAAGTAAATTTTTTATACTTCTCATCCAGAAAGTGGAGACTATAATTTTTTCCAAATTTAGAAAATTCGGGTTTATATTCTCTAGATAATCCTAAAAGGTTGAGATTTCATTTAGACAAATTCAACAAATTCATGACTTCAAACGCAGCAATATTTCATACCTGATGACCAGAACCATATTTCAACTTTCCATCCTTTCTCCAGGGCATGTTCAACTAATGGTACGTAATCACTATCGCCTGCCACTATAACCAATATTCCGGGATCCCTCTCTTTCAAGATTTTCATTCCATGCATAACTAATGTTGTATCTACTTTTTTTTCTCTTGTCGAATTCGGATTTTGTTTAATGAGGTTAACAACAAAACCTTGATCTCTACGTTTATTCCAAAGCCTATCGAGCCTTTTGTCATACTGTTTTTGGGAATGTTGAGAGCAAAATATTTCTGCAGATCCACCAGACTTTCGTCCTTTTATTATCGTTTTTCGAAGTTGTTCGTAATCAACGTATAGATTTGGTTTCTCAACTACGTTCTCATAACGCTTCACAATTTCTTTACCTTGTTCGAGCAAATTCGAATGATCGACAAGAAGGGATATCTCCCCGGTAAATGGTATTTTGCCTCCTACATGGTGAAGACAATAAGAAAAGGATAAATAAATACTACACAGAGAATGAAACCATGGCAACCAAAAAATTAACCATTTACTTCGAATTTCCTCGTTGATGATGATTTTAAGATCTTCATATCTAATGTTCCTCGATTCCAAAAATTTACAAAGTTCTCGGATGCTCCATTCGTCTACTTCTTTCGTATGGCGAGTACTTTTCGAAGAAACTGTATAACGTTTAAATATATATGCATAAGTTTATTTAATAAAACATCTTTTTTATTTGTAATAACTTACGTTTACGATTAGACATGGTTTGTTTTGATTTTTAAGAAAAAATAAACTGTTTATATCAAAACTTATTAAAAATGATATTCGGTAAGGTCGTAGAAATCGTTCTTTATGTATGCGAATTTTTTATATAATGATTAAATAAAAAATTTTAAGTGTAGTATCTAAAAACAAAAAAATAAAAGGGACCCTGAACAATGAATGATGTGTTTCCTTTTTCAGTGTAAAAGAACTCGGTTGGTTTCTTCGGGTAAAATATAGATAGATAGTGCATAAACAATTGTTGTCTTACTTTTAGGATTGAAAAAATTGTTCAAAATAAATGTCAAAATCTTCCTAAAGAAATTAATGCATGAATCATTTAAAACCGTGTCTAACCATCAAAGCTTCTCCATACAAACTTTTATCAATGTACTAGGGTATTGACAATAAAATAAGTCTACATTTTCTAGGTGCATCTCCATTTGGGACTATATAAAAAGGCGTACTTAGAAAGGGTGTGTATATATAAATAAAAGGCTTTATAAGTTAGGACATGCATTTAGAATGAATTTATGTGATGCGGGTATTGAGTGAGAAAGAACATTTAGAAAGGTTTAAATTTTACTAATTAAATGCTGTACGTTTATAAATAAATGTAGAAGTATGGAAAGCGTGCATCATCAAAGATAATTATCTTTTAATGAACGTTATTTTTTTTTACGCGAAAATTCACGATCTTAAAAATGCATAGATAATTTTTTTTTTTTAAAAAAAAAAAAACATGACTCATTTTCAAAATTGGCATAAATTATTGCTCCGGAACTCCGTTTCATTTACTTAGAATAGACTCAATGGTTCCGAACTCCGTTCAAAGAAATTATTTACTTAAAAAAAACTTTGAATAAACACTTTTTTGTGAGCTTCTACATTCAACTCATTCGGTGTATAATATTGATGTAAAGAAATAGAAGATCTCTTGCTTTAAGTAGGAAAACTCGTTTATCGTAGAGCGAAAACAAAACTGTATGATTTATCATGACTAATTTCGAATTTTAATCAAAACATTATTCTTTTTTGGACAGATCGTCCGAAGAACTATTTATTGTCACGAATTTGTGACTGGAAAATAACTAATATATTTTCATGGTTATTACGCCCATGATAAAAAATGATTTCGTAATAAATATATCATGTGTTATTAACTCTATCAAAATTTAAACGAAACCATATAATAATAAACAATTAAAAATGTCCGTTAACTTCTAAATGGCTAGAACATTTTGAAATTTTCGAAAAGATATGACTGATTTTTATCCACAAGAGGGTTCGATTACATTTATTTCGGACTTACTTAGAAAATCAAGTGGTAAGTTACATACTATGAAAAAAAAAGAGGAACTGAATAACAGCATTAATGATTTAACAATGTCATTTTTATTTAAATTAGAATTATAATAATTTTAACACTATGCAATTAAATAAATTCATTAATAAGTAAAATATCGATGTGTAGTTTCATGCTAATTAATGATTAGTAAACGGGGAATATAATTCCATACTAATCACACTAATGTAATTTAACTTCGGATTTTAACGGGTTTTCTATTTATTTTTGATATTATGCAAAAAAATTTCTTTTCCTAATGCTGTATATTAAAGAAATTAAAGAAACAAATATTTTTGATTTTCTTTTTCAAATAAAAGAAATTTCTTGATTTTTTATAAAATTATTTAAAAAAAAGTCGTGAAAACATTCCTTTTGCTTTTATACTTTAGTTTTTTTTTGATAAAAAAAAAATATTGAATAATATTGAAATAAATATATACAACTTTTTATTAAATTGAGTATATTATGTTATATTTATAAATTAACCAAAAAAAATAACCAAGAATATATAATAATAGCATTGTAAAAATAAGGCAAGAAAATCTAATTAAATTATTTATAATTGTTACTAAAATATAATGAACTAATTATACTAAAAATTTATTATACTAAACTAAATATACATAACTAGTTTGATTAGATTGTGTATATTAAAATACAATTCTATATATTGTATTTAAACTTATTAAATTACTAGTACATTATATGAATTATATAAATAATACATAAATTTGATCATAAATAATCTTTATTTTATTTGAACTTAAGAAATTATTTCAAAGAATCTAATAACTTTATTAATATAAAAAGAAATAATTTTTCTATTAAATAAAAATGTAACTTTATAAAAAAAAAATATTTAATAATAAGCATAAAATATTAAAGTATTTAAAGTTATTAATATTTTAATAAAAAATATAAAATATTAATTTATAATTTAAAAAGATTAAAAAAGATTTAAAAGTGATTTTAACTTAAAATATAAATAATCTTTAATCATAATGCATTCAACATAAAATAATATATTAATCATAATATTTTAAAATTAAAAACAAGATATTTTATAAACAATTCTTTATAAATTTTTATAACTATAAATAAATTAAAGCAGAAAGTAAATTTATTAAATATATAAAAAAGTTTATATGTTTATAATTAATAGTTTCTTATATCTACAAATCTAAAGATATTTAATATAGGTATTTTTTTTTTAAAAAAACAAACCCTTAAAATTTAATATATCATTTTTTATTAGATTATAAAAAGAAAAATATCAAAAAAATATTTTATATAATGAATAATAACTAAATAAAAAGATAATTTTTATATTTATTTATAAATATACAATTTTTTATATCATAAAAATATTAATTAAAAATCTTTCTGCTTATTATTTTTAAAATAATGCAATTTGGATTTTTAATGAAATTCCTTTTAAATTTAATAAATAACAAAAAATAAAATTATTTCTTTAATCAATATATTTTATTTTAGTTTGTCATTAAATTTAACCTTATAATATAATAATTAATAATTTATTAATATTAGTATAAATATTTTTAATCTTAAATCAATTATTAAATATAATATTAAAATCATATTATTGCTAAACTTGTTAATTAACAATTTATAATATTTATAAAATATTTTTAAGACATTTCTATAGTATTATTTTAAACTCAAATTGCTAGAAAAAATAATTTATGATTTGATAAATTTTAATAAATAAAGTAAATAATATTTGTTAGCATATTATATAAATATTATTATCCTATATATATAAAATTTCTAATTTATTTTTATTTTTCCTTAATGCTAAATTTGATGAATGATAATTGTTATAAATTTATAAATTGGTGATACTAACTATAAGGGGGTATTTCAAATAGTCGTCATCGTCAATTTAAAATAATTCAAACAATACACCTATGTATATATTTCTGAAACTTCAAATGAACGTTTATTAAGGTATAGTTTTCGAAAAGAAAAATTTCGTAGAAATTTGTCTGTGGCTCATTTTGTCAATCATTTCCAAAAAAAAAAAAGTATAATATAATACAGGTTCATAGAATTTCTTTTGTATTCTTTTCTTTACTAAACACGAGATTGAGAAATTTTAGTATAGAATAAGCAAAATGAATGTACTTTAAAAAGTTCCTTCTATTTGAAAATGATTCTTTATTTACTATTTTAAGAAAGGAAAATTTTTTGCATTCGAAATCAATGTATCAAAAAAAAAAGTTGATCAAAAAAAAGAAATTATTCATGCGTTACTTTAAGATTCATCGGAAAATTTTCGATCTGAATAAAAGTTGTGTTTTGAAGATCTAATTCCGAGAACTTCGTAAAAAAAAAAAATATACCCCCAGAAAAAATTTGTCATACAACGCAAACTAATTTAGGAAAATCATAATAGTTGTTTTACGATAAATGAATTTTCTAAAGCGAGATATCATCCTAGTACCAATATATGCCGGATAAACTGTATTGTTGATCACAAAATGTTTTATTCAAAAAAGATTTTAAAAGTCAATATTTGTCTATGGATTTTAAAATTGTGATCTTTCGCGTAATACAGTAAATCGGGTTTATTAAAAGATAATGAACTTGTTGGTGCACGCTTTTCTTTCTTCTACATTTATTCATAAAACTACAACATTTTAATAAGTAGAAATTAACCTCTAAATGCCCTCTTTAAAATACACTCTTTCTAAATGCAAGTTCAGCCTTCTTTCTATATATTCCCAATGGGGATAGGTTTAAAGAGGTTTGTCTGTAATTATTAATGTTGTCAAACGCTTGCTCCTTTCAAAGCAAGGAACAACTTTTGTTGCAACTGTATATACATCTTTGGGACCAAAAGTCATTAGAATCCAATTGATTTTGAAGCATTTATTCTAGTTTATTATGGATAACTAAATAAATTAATTAGAAAATTTAATACATGACACCGAGAATAATTGCAATACCGTTTACCTCAATTGGTTGGTTAGACGGGTTTTTAAATTCCATTAAATTTAATCATGTTTTTAAAATATTAACGATTGTTATATTGAAAAGTTTCTTGCCGTCTTTAAAGTAGGACAACATTTAATTTATGTATCATATAAAACACCAAAGAAACAAACGGAGTTCGGATCATTTTGCACTGAAAAAGGAAATAACATCATCATTGTTCGGGGTATTTATTTTTTAATAGGAAAAAAATTCGCATATATTAAGTACAATTTCTTTGAACTTACCGTTTTTTAATAAATTAATTTTTTCTTAAAAATCGATATTCCAAAGCAAAACCATGTCTAAAAATAAACGTAAACGTAAGTTATGACCAATAAAAAAAGTATGAATGATAGACTCAAGAAAATGAACTAAAAAAATTTATGCATATACAGGTGGTAAATGTACTACGAAAAGCACTCGTCTTACGAAAAAAGTAACAAAATGGAGCTCCCAAAAACTTGGTAAATTTTTGAAATCGAAAGGAATTAATGAAGAAGTTATTAAAATCATCATCGACAAACAAAAGGTCGATGGTTCATCTTTTCTTGGTTTGACCACAGTAAAACTTGAAAAATGGGGAATACCAGGTGGACCAGCTATAAAGATCGAAAATTTGGTTAAGGAAATTCAAGGTAAATAATTTAAATAATTTGATGCTTTGGTTGACATTGTTCATACTTTGTGTCATATCTATTTAATAATATCATCATTTTTGTTTATTGTCTCTGCCATGTAGGAGGTAAAAGACCGATTACCGGGGAAGTATTCCTTTTGTTCGATCATTCGAATTTGCTCGAACAAGGTAAAGAAACTGTGAAGCATGAAGAGAACTTAGTTGACAAGCCAAATCTGTACATTGATTACAAACGACTTCAAGAAAAGATATTAGATAAACGAAATTTGGGTGACCCTTCAGAAATATTTTGCTCTTGTTATTCCCAAAGCCATGATAAAAAAATCGATAATCTTTGGAATAAGCGTAGAAAACAAGGTTTTGTTATTAAACTCATTAAACAAAAACCGAATTCGACAAGAGAAAAAAAAGTAGACACTTCATTAATTGTGCGAGGAATGGAAATCTTGTATACTAGGGAACCCGGAATATTGGTTATAGTAGCAGGCGATAGTGATTATACACCCTTAGTTCAAAAAGCTCTGGATAAAGAGTGGAAAGTTGAAATATGGTTTTGGTCATTAGGTATGAAATAATAATGCTGCGTTTGAAGTCATGAATTTGTTGAATTTGTCTAAATGAAATATCAAACCCTTTAGGATTATCTAGAGAATATAAATCCGAATTATCTAATAAATTTGGAATAAACTATAGTCTCCACTTACTGGATGATGAATATAAAAAATTTACTTATGCACGTAGTCCAGAATCTCCTCGTGAATTTACTTTTGAAATCGAACATAAATGTGTTGAAAACTTGGAAGATGAAGACCTGTTGAAAATTTTCGTTGATTTGGATTTATTTGGATGGTGGCATTGGGACAATTATAATCATTTATTGGTTTATGTTAATACAGAAAAACAGAGAAAAGAAGTAAAAAAGACGCTTAAAAGGTTTGAAGAATGTGAAGAACATGAGAATAATGAGAATAACAAGAATTTAAATCTTGCATTAGATTTAGATAAAAATAAGCTTAGAGAAAATAAATTTTGTTATATTACATAATCTACTATTTATTTTTATTATCCTAATTAGTAAATCTCGCGTTGTATGTTTTGTATGACAATTTTTGTTAATTGTTAACGTTAATATTGACCGCACGCGAAGTTCTATCCTTTTTTAGGATTTAAGAGAATCACTTTATTCGAGAGGTTTTTTTTTTTAATTTTATAATTTTTTTTATTTTAAACAAAATATTTTTTCGGATAGAGCTTTTTTATGTTTTTTTAAAAAAATTTAACGATAAAATATTTTATTTTATTTTTAAGAAACGAATTTAACAAACTTTCGAAATGATAAAAAATTTTTTTTGATCATCTGATTTTTATGCGAAAAATAAACACTAGTTTTTTTTTTGCAAATTTGTCTCCCGATTTGGATTATCATCCCCGAATCCTTGTGATGTTGCGCTATTCTATTCGAATAATTCCATCATCAAATTTAAAATAGATAATAAATGTCATTTTCATAAAGCTCTATCAAAAAAAAAAACTTTATTAAACAACAAGAGCAAAATTAGTTTTATTGTTTTTTTATGCTGTTATCCTGAAACTTCAATCTCAAAAATCATCTTTAAGGAATATCACATTCTCTACACATTTTATGCAGAATTCCAAGTATTTTTTATTGTATGTGCTAAATATTAGAATCAGTTTGAGTATCTCATTTTTAAATTACATCTTTAAGTACGTCACCAAAAACAACTTTACCACCAAATACAGTAGTTAATACTTGTGTATCGACAATTTGAATTTCAGGTACTTCCATAATATCTCTATCAATTATAACAAAATCGGCATATTTTCCTATAGTAATTGATCCCATCTACAAAAATTAATTCTTAAACCAACCGATTTCTCAACAACTTGTACAAATATTTATAATAAAATAGGAGACTTACTACGGTTTCGCCGAATCCTGCATAAGCAGCATCTATAGTAAATCCTTTTAATGCCTCTTGTCGAGTTAATTTTTGTGAAGGGAACCATCCATTTTCGCCGTGTGGCTATTAATTCCAATCATAATAAAAAAATTAATTACTCGCGACTTGCATAATAAGTAATTAATCAATTAAACCTACGGAATTTCCGTCAACATCTTTCCTTGAAATAGCAGCATGAAATCCTAAAAATGGATTTACATGCTCAACAGGAAAATCGGAAGAAAGCGGGAATGCTTTTACCCTAGAACACAAAAGAAATGATAAATAAACGTCAATGACTTTACAAATTAATTTCGATTAGAGTGTAAAGTGTTTGAGGAGAACGGACCCTGCTTCTATGAAACTTCTCCATGCATATGCGCCCTTAATACGCTCACTACCTAGCCTCTGTTCAGCATACTTCATATCAGAAATTGCTATAAGAAATTTTCATCAAATTATGCGACATTAACAAAATTGAAACACATTTATTTTTAAAAATAGTTTACCGTGTGTGGGTTGCATTGATGGTATTATATTCAATCTACCAACGCGTTTAATATCTTCAAAAGTCTGAAATTTCAATGAAAAAAAATAAATATAATTTCCTTTAAATCTTTACTTAACATAAGTCCTCTCCTTCACACTACTTAAAAAATCTTCTAATTACCAAAATTTGTGCATGTTCGATTCTAAATCTAACTTTCTCTGCAATTTTCTTTACTTCTTCATCAATTTCCTGTTCTGACATTTCTTTATCGACATTTTGTGATAGTACACGATCCTTAAAAGCTGACTCATATGCATTGATTACCAAATGATTGGCTTTATCACCTATACAGTGTGTATTAACTTGGATTCCCTAATGTATTACAAAAGGTGATCTTAATGATTCAAAATAAAATTGAATATTACAAAATTAATGAACCTTTGGTACCTTATCCATCCATTTTCTGATTTCGGGTGGTAATAAAGCTGGATCAGACAATAAAAACCCATTTTTCGTTTGATCATCTTTCGAAATAAAAAATACTTGAGATTATACAACTTTTATAATTTCTTCAATCAGCAAGAATATAAGCTTACCGGAATAAGGTTCCAACATTGCTGATTTGCATGATTTTCATGGAAATCATTAAAAATACATAAATAATAACAAATTTGTTGAACAATCTCGAATGAATAAATATTAATTAATCCAACCTGCTCCCCAACTTCCCAAAGCACCATCCATAAATAGCTTAACGCTCCTAACAGTCAATCTTCCATCACCTAACCCTTCAACAATCTCAATGTCATCAATATAATTGTTATTTAGAACTTCAACCATTGCATAATTTCGGATATTAAACTCCTCTGGTTGTTCATTAATAATCCTATAAATGTGAATAAATTAACAATAATATATATATATATATAAGAAGAATATATACAACATACCTTTTGTAAAATTTAAGTTGATCAAGCGAGACACTTGCATCATGTACTCCTATTAATCCAAAAGAATGCATTCTATAAATCGCTAATCGTAATTGCTGTAATAATTTTTGTTCACTTGGCGAGGGCATGATTTTCACTAAAACCACAAAATTTATAAAATTATAAGTTTAACTATCTTTCATGCTAATTTTTCTTCTCGAATCGTTTGTTAAACACTTAACTAATTAATTGCATAGCGTTATCAACGAAAATCCCAGTTAGTTCACCATCTTTATCTTTTCCAATTTCGCCACCATCAACAACCTTTTCTTCAATTTTAACTAATATTTTCTTGTTTACTAACACAACGTGTCCATCAATACGTGTCATCGAGATTGAGTATTTCTCGAGAAATGGATCACAATCTATATCTTTCTATTTCATTATAAATGATTAGATAAAATAATTATTTTCTATGTAAAGATATAATTATGAATACACTCACACAAGTTGGAAATGATTTAGATGTCCATAGTGTTTGATCCCATCCCCATCCTACAATCCATTCCGTGGTAGGATCGATATCAGGATGTGAATTTATATATTCTCGAATTCTTTCACGCATCTCTGTTAAAAACAAATTTTAGATTACTTAAGACGTGTGTTCATCACGTGATTTTCAACATTAAGGCAAAATTGAAATCATACCTTCAACCGATTTTGATCCTATGAGATTCACTGATAGTAAAGAATTTCCAAGATATTGCAAATGCTGTAATACGAAATTTATGTAAATTTGATTACAAATTTTATAGAGAAACATAATTCAATCATTAGATACCCCGTGCGCATCAATTAATCCAGGTAATATGGTTCGGCCTTTTAAATCGATACTCTAATTATCTCAACAAAGTTAATAATATACAATAATAGATGGATTATAAATGTATATAGACATACTTTAAATCCTTTCCATTTTTCCATTAAATCAATTTTATTACCAACATCTATAAACTTTCCATTCATTACTACAAATGATTCAATTTTTGGTAAATCATCATCCGAAGTATAAATATTTGCATTATGGATTATGTAACCATTTGATGCTTCACTGCAAAAAAAAAGGTTTAAACTTGAAAATTAAATTTAATATATATAAAAAAATAAATGATAAAAAAACCTTGAGTTGTAATTCATGATAAAAAAAGAACACTTTTTTATTTATTTTTTTTGTGAACTTCTTGTAATAACTGGTATTTTATGTAACGTAGTAATGACTCCAAAACAAGTTCATTCTAATGGAAATCAAAAGTTTTACAAGGTGACAATAATTTCATATCAATCGAAAAATAAGGTAAATTATTTCAATTGACTTGCTAGTAGAAATTGATTTTTATTGGAAGGTTATCGTTATTGTTTCAATAAAAGGCAAGGACAAATCAGTTATCTCCTAAAATAGTAATTGGTATAATGGGAAATTTACTTATTTTATTACGTTGTCCCAACTTACTGCGTATATATACTACGCCAAAATATTGCCTTATATAGTAATATATATAGCCAGTTATCTTTTCACAGATTTCCGAAATTTTGTTTTTTTTAATTAAAATGGAGAAAACGGTAGAATTAAACGTGAATCATCTAATGAACTTAAAGGCTGCTCGTAATTTATACGAGAATTCACAACCTATTACAGCTTGTGATTTCGATCAGACTGGAGAATTCTGTGTAACTGCTTCAGCTGATGAATCGATTAATTTGTATAATTGCGTTCAAGGAAGGTAAATAATACATAATGTTCTATTCAACGACAATATTTGCCTAGTTATATTATAATTTATAAATATTTATAGACATCAAATCTGATCATTAAACTATTCTCAATTATTATTAAATTATTATTATTTTGATCACAGGCATAAGAAATTGATTCTTAGTAAAAAGTATGGAGTTCATTTAACGCGGTTTACTCATCGACATACAGATATTATATACGCGTCAACCAAAGAGAATGGTAACTGGTTCGTCATTCTTCCAATCTATAATTGCTTTGATGATCATTGGACGTGATAATTGATACTAACCTATATATATATGAATTCACTTAATTAGATACGTTGCGATATTTGTCATTACACGATAATCAATTCATAAGATATTTTGAGGGACACCAGAAAAGGTATTCTGATGATATCGCGTTAATGTTGATATATTACTTGATAAATAACAACGGTAAGAACATTTCTTTCATTTTTTTAGGGTAGTAAGTTTGGAGATGTCACCTGTGAGTGATCAATTCGCTTCGGGCGCTATAAATGAAGGAGTTCGGTTATGGGATTTACGTACACCTACTTTTTTGGTATGTAATTGTTTATTTATAAATAAATTTAATCATGATGATTTTCTCATTTAAAGTATTGTATTAATTTTTTTTGCAGGGATTTATTAATATTGAAAACGGAAGACCTTGTATCGCATATGATCCGTCCGGAATTGTACTTGCAATTGGACTTCAGAGCCATGATAATGTTATAAAGTTATTTGACATAAGAAAGTTTGATCAGGTAAAATAATAATAAAATTTTACCTTATAAAAAAATTTTTATTAATATGGCTTTTTACTATATAGGCACCGTTTACAACGTTGAATGTGATAGATAATTATACGCTACCTTCCACACATCCGCGCCCTCCGATACAACCTGAATGGACATCTATAAAATTCAGCAATGATGGCGATAAAATTCTTGTTACAACTTCGGGAGATGTACATTATGTAACGGATGCATATAACACTGACGTGAAAAGGCGATTAATTGGTCATGTTGGATTAAATAATGCATCACAATTGTTAGGAGGAGAGGAAACAAGTTGGACTCCTGATGGTCGTTTTGTAGTTGGAGGTAATCTATTATACGAGTGAAGATTTTATTTATACCTTAATTATCAAATATATTTATGTGCGTATTGAATTTTTCTCATTTAGGATCACAAGATGGAGTGATAAATTTTTGGGATATAGAAGCACCTCTTAAGAATTCAGCTGTGCTTGCGGAAGGGATAGATTCTCGACCAATACACACACTAGAACATCATGTTAGACCAACACAAGTTGTTAGATTTAGTCCCACAAAATTGATGATGGTTAGTGGTTGTACAGATTTGGTGAGTTCTAGTATGATTTTACGTGTCATTTTTATCTCTTAATCGATCTATGTTCCCCACATTTAGGTTATACAAGTATAATTTGTGGTTTAAAACGATCGAAGAATAATAATTCAAGTTATCTAGTACAAGTTGTTTTCGATAGCTTGTTGAGGGTTGCTTTACAGATTTAATTACCACTCCGGATTCATGTTTATTAAAAATTTTGTCATCCGGATAATTAGATCAACATTCTTTTTTTTTTTTTTATCTGTTTACAAGTAAATTTAACCAACATACTTCTTGCTTTTTGTTTATATATCTTTCAAGACATTTTGGCTACCATTATTTGACACTTTGGAAGAAGAAAAAGGATTTAAGTCAGAAGCACTGACACCACCCATATTCAGTAATGACAGTACAATGACAACGGATGTCAATTATGGTCAATCCGCAATTAAAAGAAGTGAGGTTATTTTTGATAATGTTGTCGGCACTATAAAAGTTCCTGATTTGGGTGGTGGTAACCATAATGATGATAATAATGGAGAAGGAAATGAGGACGGATCATTATCGTTTGCACCATCGCCTCCATCAGCTGCAATGTCAACAACAACAATCAGTGGAGGAGAAAGTGATAATAGCGTCACTAATAGCAATGCAAATATTGGTGAAAATACAAATTCTTCTTCCATTCCTACAATTGAAGCTCCTCAGATTATCATTAATAAAAATGAAACCGAGAATCATCAGAGTTCTGAAGCACCAGGTCCTTCATCTGACGGAGGAACAGATCCCATGAAAACCGAATGATTTTTTAAATATATTAATTAAAAATGTTTTTTTTTATTATAATGTGAATTACTATTCAAATATTCATCATGTGTTTAAAAATATACATATTTTTTTTTTTTTAATACATTTTTAATAAAAAAAGAAAATTATTTTCCAAAAATTTAATATTATATATATATATTATAAATCTGAATTTTAATGTTTTTGCGGTTTATTTATACCACCGTTCAAATTTGTTACCTAATATCATTTTTTATTGACGCGAAAGAGATTGTGAAATATATATTGATATATTTAACCAAATATGATATATATGTTTTTAATATTTATTCTTGAGCATCCACGTGTTGATGCCTTCTTAAGAAAGCTTCTCTCAAAATTGCGTTAATGGACTGGTAATCGGACACATCAGAAGAACCTTCATTAACATATTCTCTATTCTGAAACCGATAATGAAGGTCATGAGTCAATTCTTGATCCAAAGAACCAACATTCTCCATTGCGGATGAAGATGTTCCATGTCTTCTTTCATTATGATTTGATCCAGCAATTCTCTCGTCAATTTCCATGCATCCAAGATCGTCTTGCAATTCATTCACGATATGTGAAGTACGCGTCAAATTGGCGAGATACAAAACCGAATTGATGTTCATGTAAGGATTTAAAAGTTCAGTAGAGGATGATGATGATGCATCTGATCTTGTCGAGATTCGAATTGGGTTACGATGTAGTTTATGGAAATTTGGATTCAATAAAGAAGTACCGCCTAAAGTTGATTGTTGCTGCTGTTGAAGAATTTGATGATATGAATAGGGAGAAGATGTAAAATCGGTGGTATCCGCATGGGTTGAGTGAGATGATGGCGTTCTTGGTGATGATTCTGAACTAGAGTTAAAGAGTTCGGATGGAACCACTCTGTTTACATTACATGTAACCAATGAATCAACTCAAATTTAACATAAAGGTATAAATAATACCATACATAATTTAATGTTTAGTGAAAGTTCATTTTTAGCTTTCATCAAAAACTTAATTAACCAACCTCAAATCTTCATGGTCAAGATCTAACCGCATTCTCTTTAAGTCTACTTTTCCAGCCTTTTCTTTGTAATTATTCCTGCCATCAATCATGGCACCACCAAAGCCTTCTCCACTTTCATTATGATCACTTTCTTCGTCTGAAACGCGTGTCCTCTTCTTCGTTTCAAGTAACATTGTAAAGGCGAAGTTTTAAAAGGTCTTAAATGGGTTAAGTGATGCTGCGGCTCGTACTATTAATATTTAAGGACCGCTCGAAAAGGTAAACTCGTGATAGAACTTGTTTGAGGCTAATAAAAGAGGTTGTAAAGTGACATTTTGGTCGTGTTATTCTACTTATGATAAATTGAATTTATATTTTTCCCAGGTAGAACCGATTTAAAAAAAAAATCCCAGGTACAATACAAATACTTTTTTTTAGCGTGCGTGCGCGCGTCACATAATAGCGTAATTACGATGATTCAACCCTTGTCAACTATTGAAATTATGATATTACGCAATTCTCGGAGTTCGGGATTTTCGGGATTTTCGGAGTAAAAACTGATAGCCGCAGTTTCAAATCGATCAACAAAAAAAAAAAAATTATAAATACTTCAAATTTTTTTTAAGGAATTTATAAAAAATTTTCGGAGAAATTATTAAATAAATCAGATATAATAGAATAAATATATAGAATATACATAGAAAAATTTTAGAAAATTTTTAATTTAATTTTTAATTTAAAAAAAGATGGCATCGAAAAGGGTTTTGGTAAGCTCGATTTATTCTTTCTGATTTTATTTGATTTTATCTTTCAACTTATTATACTTAAATGAATTGCTGCGGACGTTAGTTGGTTGGCTTGGGCAACCATACGCACCCACAAACATGGCATAGCATAGGGATGCTTCTTTTAGATCATATAGCATCACAGTTAAATATCACTTGGTCAAAAAATAAATCGATTCACGCATACATCACACAACCAACTACGATCTACGTCGACCCTTCTTTTTTATCAAGGTCATCATCATTTAAACAATGTAAACTTTCCAAGAAAAAGAGAGCAAAAAAGAAAGAATGGGATTTTGGTAGTGAATCAGATGAAGATATCAAGACGAACATCAATTCTACCGTTCAAAATGATGTGTTTAATAGTTCAGATCTCCTTTCAGAGATCGATTCGTCATTACTATACGATTCCTCAAAACATCCTTCTCCATTATCATCAACATCATCGGAATTGCCAGATGGTACACCCTCACCTAAGATTCAACCAACAAAATCCAAACCAAAACTTGATCCGGTTCCTATTGAATTTACTCTATTGAAACCTATGTTTTTAATGAATGTTAGTGGGAAATCGGTCTCGAAAGCAGGTTTGTTTGACATACATTGTTTACGTAGTTTGTTAAATAATAAACTATATAATAAATCATTCAATTGATTGTCTAAATAGCACGAGAGCTTCAATTCTCGCATTCGAATATGATAATTATTCATGATGATATGCAGCGCGAACTCGGTAAATTCAGCATAAAAAATGGTGGCAGTGCAAAGTAAGAAAAAATAAATTTAATAAATTATTTGGATCAAAAAGTCAAAATTTTTAATGAACTTTTGATTCGTAGTGGACATAACGGAATTAAATCATTGATCGATCATCTGAAAACAGACGTAAGTGTAGTTCTTTTTTCTTTTTTAAATTCGTTAAATCTTAAAAATTAATTCACGTATTTTTTATTAGGCATTTCAAAGATTACGAATTGGCATAGGCAGACCTCCAAATGATGATCGATCACGTGACACCGTATCAGATTTTGTTTTGTCACGTATTCCTTCCAATGAAATGGAAATTTATAAAAATGACATATTTCCAAAATGTAAAGATGAATTATTTAAAGCTAGCATAAATACCAAATAAAGGTTTATATGTTTAATTCAAAGTATAGTATAAAAAACCGATTTTAAATAAAAAAGCTCGGTTGGCAACAATCGGGAACACGTGATTAATCATATCATCATTAATAAATAGCCTTATATATTTTTATCTTCCAGAATTTTTTCTGACTTATAGCAATATATCATAACAGTAACACAATTATCAAAAAATGTCTCAAAAACGTTCCAAATATGTAAATACAAGCCCATATTTTACATCAAAAAATTTTACTAAAACTTTATTAATTCGAAAAGATTGTTTTATTAATAACCGACCGTCACTTAATGCAGTACATTATCCAATAACAAAAAACGATCGTAAAACTTTTAAAAATCCAAAAACTAATAGAAATGTGACGGAATTCCAATTTAAAGTGTATGATCTTTGCTCTCAGGTAATCATAATTTTTATTTAGATCACTAATTATAATGCGTTTAACCTGATATTTTATTCATTTATTTTAATTTTTTTGTGATATAATCTAGATCCCTGAAGGTAATATTGATTTACTTATAGAAATGTTTAATATAAATTCTCGAGTACTTATTAAACATAAATTGTTCAATATTTTTAAAAAGGATATGTTTCAACATATAGAATGCTAGCAACAGCTCTATCATCATCACCACGTGCAGTTGGAGGAGCACTTCGTGTAAATCCTTTTGCTCCTTTACCAGTACCATGTCATCGCGTAATTGCTTCAAATTTTTTTATTGGTGGATTTGATGGTGAATGGTTCGGGCGTGATGATAAATCTCGCATTAAAAAAGAAAAACATAGAAGTGAAAAAATTGATCGTAAAACGGAAAGATTAGCTAAAGAAGGGATTTTGTTCAATAATGAAGGTTGGTTAATTGAATGGCAAAGATCATCTCAAATTTTTAATAATTTTGATATTTCAAAATTATCTTGATCCTACTTTCCCTTTCTTAACCTTCACCACTTCTTAAATTATCGGTAAAAAATATTGCGATTTGAGTTTAAATAATCACAGTTCGCGGATTTTTTCTGGTAAAGTAAAAAAAAAAATTTATCAACTAATATAACCGAGATAAGGGTTTATTCACTTTTATTAGTATTATTAATTATTTTTTGTTAAAAATTCTATTGTTTTGTTTTGCCGTTGATTTTCTTCACGAAGTCGTTCGATTTCTTCTCGTAATGCCATAGTTTCACCTCGATTTTTTAAAAACATCGTCTCAATTTCCATCTATAAATTGGGAATAAGAATTAGTATTTAATCTATTAATATATTCAATTATATAATTATCCATAAACCCAGAAACCTTTTGAATATGAAACTGTCGTAACAATTCCAAATGCATATTTTGTATATCATTTCGTAATGATATCCGGAAGTCTTGCAAGCATTCATCAACAACGCTTCCAATAACTTGAAGCTGAAAATTTGTTGCTGTGCTTATTGTGTTAACGTTTTCTTCAACAGCTCTACTATGGTTATCATCAATGTTGTTTTTAATAGTAACGTTTTCGTCAGCGACTCTATTATGGTTCATGTGGTCCTTATCATTTATCATATTTTTAGTATTAATGTTTTCTTCAGCAGCTCCACCATGTTTAGCATGGATCTTATCATCGATGTTTTTAGTAATAACGTTTTCCTCTGTAGTTCTACTATGGATCTTATCATCGATGATGTTTTTAGTAATAACATTTTCGTCAGCGGCTCTACTATGGTTCACGTGGATCTTATCATCAATGATGGTTTTAATATGAACGTTTTCGTTAGCAGCTACACTATGGTTCACGTGTATCCTGTTTTTATCAATAATGTTTCGAGTATTAACGTTTTCGTCAGCAGCTCCATTATGGTTCTTATTGTTATCAATGTTATTTTCTGTATTGCTAGCAACGGTGTCATCAATAGTAATATCATCCTTAACCACCTTCTTAACTGGCGAAAACATGTCCATATAATTTTTCCCCTTTGATTCGCTAAGGACCGGAGATGATGATTTTGCTGCCACACCCTTTGCCGATTTGTTAGAAGAAGAAATGGGAAGTGTCGCCGTCCCCCTCGAGGATGTTCTAATATGACTATTTTTATTCTTACTCAAGGTAGCGCGACGCATGGAAGTACGACTTTTTTCCTAACATAATTTATATAATCTGTAAATATCTAAAATGCTTGTTATAAATGTGTTGAAATTTTACCTGAAAATGTAAACATTGAATAGGACGAGATTCATATCCATTTAATGTACACATGACTTTGTTAAGCGAACGCAAGTCATATATCAAAATCTTGCCTAAAAAGTCAAATTAATCATAAATTAAGTATTTACGTGAATAAAAATAAATTTAAAGTTTAAAAACGTAACAAGCACCTACCTTGAAGCGTACCCACTGCTATAGTAACACAGTCCGCCCTGTAGGCCAATGACGTCAAAGGCGATTCTGTGTATATATTTTTCAGACATCTTTTATTTTTTGATCATGACAAAAGTCCAAAACATTAAAATTTGATTCAACTCTAAACTGCAACAAATTTGCGCAGAGGAAAGAAAACAAATATTCAGGTTTCTCATATTAACTTGACCCGTATAAGATAAATTGACTACATACTCTTTTTTGCCAACATCATACATAACAATACGCCTATCCATTCCTGCACTTAACAACAAATGTGAATTGGAAGGCGAAAAGGCTATTCCTTTAATCTCTGAATGATGAGCTTTTTCATATGTCTGTATTGCTGTCGTAGATCCACTGGTATCCCATAATCGTAATGATCCATCTTCACCACCAGCCGCTAACAGACCTCGTTTTACATATGAATATTGCAAAACGTTTATTGGCTAAAAGAAATGAAGATAAGTTCCAATTCGAATTTAAAAACTTAGGAAGTTGAAAATCGTAACCTTGCATACTTGTTTTGTAGATACGGCCAAATTATTCCGTGAATTGGATTTTTGTCGATTATGAATAATGATGTTTCCGTTTAATGCAGAACTAGCCACAATGGATTCATCCAAATTCAAATCAATACACGTTATAGCACTACTATGTCCCTAATATATTACAAACCGATTTTAGTAAGATTGATTAATACATAATCGATCAATAAAGATTTACCTCCAAAGGCTCAATAAAAGTTGATCCTTTACGATCCCAGATATTAACAATCTTATCAGAACCTCCAAACAAAACATATTGTGATTTATCTGAAAAGCGAAGAGAATTAATTTTTGTGTAATCGTCCTAAGAAAGTTAAAAACCCCATTAAGGTTAATGATTAAGTCTTTTCTTTTATAAAAGCGTCCGATAACTTACTGATACATAATTATTCGACGGTATTGTTTCTATAAATTTTCCTTGCGAATCATGTATTGTAAGAGTTCCTTCATTTCCCACTACAGCCAATAGCTGATCTAAAATAAATGAAACAAAGGAATTATATTAGACTAAATGTCTTTCTATCTAATTCCAATCATACAATTAACTATGATTTATTAATAATGTTTTACTTTTATCAATATGTTTACTTACTGTCATGACTCCAACGAACTACACTGACTCCAGTTGAAGCATCGTCAGGAGCAAACGAAGAAACTTCAACACCAAGCAATTGTTCTGGAATAATTGCCTTTGATGTCTCAATTTCATTGGAATTCTTATCACCAGTTATCGACTTTAAATCCCATATTTTAACACCTTTTGACGCCGAAACTAACAAACTCGCCGACATTTTATAATATATAAAAAATATCTTTAGAAAAAAAAGAATGATTTTTAGGAAAACAATCTACGCGAGTTTTATTAGTTTTATTAGAATGTGCAACTTTTAAGGCACGTGATATATAGCATCATATTTTTTTTGCGCGTTTCATACATAAATTTGAAAAACCTAGGGGTATGGATTTGTTAATTAAGCGGTTAATTAACTGAATTTCTTTATGATTGGCCACTATTTTGATAAATAACATCAACTGTGATTGGTTATAATTTTTCACGTGAAATATTTGCCAACTCGAAAAATAAGTTTGTATTACCGCACCATGCGCGTACTGTACTTTTTTTTGCCGCCATTTTTGCCACCATTTTTTTTATAAAATATGACGACTAAAAAAAATTTTGGGCCCTGTTCTATTATAAATTGCACATATGTGAGTATTAGGTTTCGTGTTATTACGAAACTTGTATATGCAAAATGCTGTAAGAACCAACTGTTACAAATATATCCTATCTTAAAATAGGGAAACAACTTTGCCATTTACATTATTGCAGTATAATAGAAGCTGATAGGAGTAAATGAAGACGAGAACTTAAAGAAAAAAAAGTAACAATTCAAAGGAAAAAAAAAAGTATTAGAACCGATAGAACCTTTAAATAATAATTATATAGGTAAATACAATAGTATTTTTTATTATAATGTTATCTTTAATATTATATATATATTACAGCTCATTTCATAATTCATGGACCACTAATAAATTGCAATTAAATGTGACTGAAAATTTTTTATAATAAAATTATTATAAAATATTGCGACTAAATGTGACTGAAAAATTATTAATGGTTCATAAATTATGAAATTAGCTGTAACTTGAAAATTAAATTAAGGTCAATGTCAACATTAGAGCCCACGGATTCGTGCATTTGCATAATTTCGCATTTATGCACTATAATTTCGCATAACACATGCATCGCACTTTTGAGGCAAT